GCATGATTTCTGCCAGCCAGCACTATAAACAGACTTAGAAAAAAATCTAATTTTCGGAAATGATTGTATATGGTGGCAATAAGTTATAGTGTTTCCTAGTGTAGGGACCATAAATCCCAACTCACTTTATTAATAAAATGTTAAAAACAGCGTATGTGTCAAAAAAACTCTTTAGAACCTAATAGATTTTTCATGCTTATAAAGTATATATATTAAAAGTTATACATTATCTGGCATTTTCTACATTGGACTACAAAGACTTCATACTCTTAATCCAACAATATCTGTATCAATAAAACGTTTTATTACACTCTTCATGCTTATAAAGAATATACTATACGAGTTATACATTATCCGACATTTTCTACACTGAGCTACAATGATTTTATTCTCTTCATCCAGTACAATTTATTCTTACTTTAAATAAAGCGAGTATAAAAATAACTCATAAACTTAAAAAAAAAGATACGATTGCACATATTATTTATTGCTAAGAGGTTATATATTTCCTTTATAATAGTTCTGGTTTAAAGATCATAATTAAATATAATAAAATCAAATTCATAAAAAATTTTGTCTATTCATTCATTTTTGATTTTCAAATATTTATTGTAAATAAATACTTATTTATATCAAATTAAAAAGATTAAGTCCATATAAGTTAATTTCTTCATATCACGTCGTCTTTAATAAATAATACAATTTAAAAAATTGATTTTTGCTTCATCAAAAAAAAAAAAAATAAATAAATAAAAAATAAAAACAAAAAGGACAAAAAGCTGATAAGATATACTAGTACAAGGATATTGTCATAAATAAATTTATTTTTTAATCGAAAAAAAAAGAGAAATACTTTTTAATCACATCGAAAAAACATATATGAAAATTGAAAAAGTTGCACTGGACAAGGATAAAATAACATAAAAAAATGTCACTAACATTTATAAAAGTTGTATAAAAATAAAAATATAAAAGTATAAAAAATATGTCCTTGTGTTAAAATCATGTTTGCTTAGCCAACCCCACAGTCAACAAACATAGTAGACGATAATATCGAAAAAATTCTGCACGTATCCTCACAAGACAATAAATCATATATTTAGAAACAAGAGTGAAATTAATAAAAAAAAAAAAATATATATATTAAAAAACATTTTTACCAGTAAAAGCCCCAGTGTAAATGTTTGTGTATCTTGTAATTACACTAATGTTGACCTTAAGGATATCCCTAAGACTTATTAATGTTACGGTTAGAAATTTTTATGGTTTTTTATTTTTTTCAGTATAATATAATTTAATTTAATTTAACTTGATTTAAGTTATTTTAATTTAAGTTTGAGGAAATCTAAATAAAGGATATCCTACTAAGTATTCACACCCTCGTTTAACTTCAAATTTCTATAACATATATTACTACAGCTACGGTTAAATAAAATCAAAACATTGTGAAACGATAACATTAAATTTAATCAGTAATTAAACACTACTAAAGATTTATTTTATATTCTCAACTGAAAATAAAAGTTGAAATATAAAAGCGCTTCAAGAGAATTAACTGCTGCTTGCTAACAGCACTATTTTCATTTCAAGCCTACCGGAAAAATTATCTAATCATAGAACTTATATACTATTGAAGTTTTTATTATTACATTACATTATGTTATTAGTTTTTTTTCTTGAATTGGAAAATATGAATTTTTATTTTATTTTTTTCATAAATATTTTGTGAGTTTTAAACTCAAAATATGCCTTCTTGAGGTTAGCAATTTGTATATATGTATGTTTGTGAGTGTATAAAGTCTGTATTCTTTAGTGTAAGTATATATAACTTATATATCGAATAAATATATATGAATTTTAATAATTACGAAGCAATACTGACAAAGTGTCGTCAGTCAACTGAACGTATTGTATATATCATTGCTATATCACAGCATATATCATTACTTGGAGTTTTACTTATATATCTGATACGTCTATATATTTTTACTGTATTTAACACCAGTACTATATCTCCAGGGAATATAAGAGCTTAAAAGTATATCGACGTTATTTTTCAATTTTTTTTCATTTTGGATGTTCAGCTATTGACTTTTATTCTTATAGTGTTCATTAACTCAAAGCAAACTGATAGGACTCCATGTGTCCATTTTCAATTTTAATCTTCTTTGGTATTATGGTGTTTTAGATGTCTATCCATCTACTATAAATACTTCTTCTATTGGTATATTTTTTCTTACTTTTTCCTTTATTTTTCTTTTCTTCTATCTATCTATTATGCTGTTTTTTTTTATCATTGAATCTTCTTTCTGTTCAATTGCTATTTGGTATTATAATATTTTAGGTAATATTTAGATACTTTTATGTCGACTTAATGACTATTTCTATCCTCGAACTCTATTCAATTTCTGTTGTGCTTTAAACACACCTCCATTCTTTTAAAATACTTGTCCTAAAGATATATCCCCTCTCTGTTCGACGCCTATTTGGTACTCTAGTGTTTTAGAGATCCATCTTCATCCATCCTATGTACTTATTCTACTTTTATATCAACTTAATCTGTGGTTATATTTTAAAATCTTCTTTTGTGACTTCTATTTTGTACTATAGAGTTTCGAATATCTATCCATTCATCTTTAATACTTGTTCTACTTATATGTCGACATAATTATTCTCACTATTCTAACCCTCTACCTGTTCGATTGTTTTTTGGTATAGTAGTGTTGCAAAAATTTCTACATTCATTTTAAATACTTGTTCTATTTTTATTTCAACTTAATTTCTCTTAATATTTTCAAAGTAAATTTTTCTTCGACTTCTGTTTTGTACTATAGTGTTTTGAATAACTTTCGTACTTGTTCTATTTTTATGTTGCCTCAATGATTCTTACTATCGTAGAATCCCCATCCTGTTAGGTATTGTAGTATGCTGGATACGTCTCCATTCATCTTTAATACTTGTTCTGTTTCTAAGTCGATTTAATAATTCTTACTATCCTTTAACCTCTTTCCTTATTAACTCCTGTTTTGTAGTGTTTTGTTAGGTTTTGGATATCTCTTCATTGATATATGTACTACTTGTACATCGATTTAATGGATATTTCTTCATTGATATTTGTTCAATTTGTATATTGACTTAATGAATATCTCTTATCCTTTCTTGTTCTTCTTGTATATCGACTTAATGGACATCTTTTCATTGATATCTATTCTACTTGTATATCAACTTAATGGATATCTCTTCATTGATATTTAATGGACTTAATAGATATCTCTTACATGTTCTACTTTTGTGCCGAGTTAATGGATATCTCTTCATTGATATTTGTTTAATTTGTATACCGACTTAATGGATATCTCTTCATTGATATTTGTTCAACTTGTACACCGACTTAATGAATATCTCTTCATTGATATTTATGCTACTTGTATATCGATTTAATAGATATTTATTTCTTCATTCATACTTCTTCTGCTTGTGTATCGACTGAATGACTCTTAATTTTTTCGAAACCCTCCTGTTGAACGCCTATTTGGGGTATAACAGTATTTTTTAGTGTTTGGAATATCTATTTATTAATATTTATTCTACTTGTGTACTGTGTAAGTCATCAATTTTTAATTTTTAGGTTTATAAACCCTTGTTAAGGACTTCAGATTCTTATCTGAAGGCATCTATTCCTTCATACTTCTTCTGCTTATGTATTGACTTAAAAACTCTTCATTTTTTCGAAACCTTCCAGTTGGACTCCTGTTTGGGGTATAACAGTGTTTTGTAGTGTGTGGGATATCTATCCATTCTTATTTGTTTTACTGGTATATTCTGTAACTTATCAATTTTTTATTTTTAGATACATAAAATCCAGACTTTAGATTCTTAATAAGAATTATTTATTAAGATCTAAGATCTAACATATTTTGCATTATAGAATTAACAAATTCTTATTGTTATTATTATTATCATATAACTTTTCGATTACTTATTTTATTTTATATATATATATATTTTTTTATCATTTTTTAATATGAATTTTCTTTTTGAACAAATTTTGAATCATATTTCCGTTACATTACTTCAAATAAATTCTCGTAATCAAAAACTTTTAAGGCATTCGGCATATTTTCGTGGGATAAGCCAAACTTTATGGCTGCTTAGGCAATATTTCCAAAGAATTTATACCTTTTCCGAAAGGAATCATAATGTCGCGTGGAACGTGTGACGGTACTAATAATAAATAACGTATTTGTCACGTGCTAAAATAGCAACAAAACGTAAACAAACGTGTGCGAAATATTTAATTTTTATACAATTTTTTCTTTCAGTTCCCATATATACAAATATATAGAGGTATAAAAGTATAATATTTCTTATAAAAATGTATTGTGCATTACACAAAAAACGCTCCGGCAGCTACGTAAATAAATCATAACCAATGTTAAATCGTCATAAAAAACGAAGGTTACAACAATTGCCATAAAATAAAAGGCAAAATGAATCTCACAAATACCAAAATCTGAAAAGTAAAATACAGAAAAACGGAAATAAAATAAAATAAAAAAAAAACAGAAAAACAGGAAAAAAAATTATATAAAACAAATTTTTACATCGATACTCATTGGTTCGGCACAGTCAATAAAATTCTACTCTTTTGCACTTTCGATTTGTGCTCAATTTGAATTGTGAAAATGATTTAAAAATATTAAAATTTGAATTTGTTTTTTTTTATTTATTATACAATAAATAAATAAAAAATTAATATTTGTGCAAAAAGAAAAAAAAAACAAAAGATATATAAAAATAATAAAAATGTCAACTTTCGTGTGCCATAAATAACAAATTTTAAATAAAAAATCGAATATATAAATAAACCGAAATAAAAAAGAAAAACTTCTAAATATATTATAATATAAAAATAAAATAAAATTTAATATTTATAGAAATAAAAATTTATGAAATAAAAAACAGAAGAATAAAAGTGACTAAAATGTGAAAAGAATTTTGCATAAATTTAGATTTTCCTAAAAGTGTTTGGAAAGGAAAAACAAAAAATAGAATCTTTTTTTCTCAAAACCGCAACAACATTTCAAATGCTTGAGAACAGCAAACTTTTCAACAAAAAATAATCAAACACGCTTTATGCCGTGCTGGAGTATCCTTCACAAAACGTCATAAACATCCTAAAACATCAACATGTCCTCACTGAAATCTACAAATCTATGGATCTTAATGTTTCTATTCTACATCTTTGGCCGGTGCACGAATTCCACACGTATACGTGTCAGTCCGTCGACAATGACGCGGAACATCGAAGAGGAAAACGGTAAGTAAATCTTTTGTTTTCATCAATACCCAAACAGGCACATAACAGGATTGTATGGAATCCCATACGTCTTATGCCATACAATACATTTAAGTATATTGTTTGAGAATATGCATGTATCTCAAAATGTATCTGAAAACAATAATATTATTCTATTTTTAACTTTTATTTTCTGCAATATAATATCTAAATTTATGACCATGTTCTTCGGTTCATGCATTTATGCGACCGACCGAGACCGTGTGTGTAGGTTATTAAATATTTACGTAACCAGGCATATTTATATATACATATTTAAAACATACATTTACATCTCTTAATATTCTTTTGTCTACAAAATCATGCATTATTGAATTGTTGAGTAGATCATAATAATAAAATTATAATAACACGTAACTTCTAAATGTGTTGAGGAGAATATTTGGATTCAGATGTCTGCCTGATTTCATCCTCTTCAATGTTGAGTAATCAGAATATGAGTGTGAATTGAAGAGAATTACCTTTTATATTAATTAAGATTTATTTATGAATTTATTGATATTATTTGTATTATTTAATTCATTTTACAAAGAATTAAAAACAATATAATTTTTGAATGGATTATGATATGAATTAAGATGTACAGTAGACAAGAATCTCTATTATTATTATTTATTAATTTAAATTTAATTATTTGAATCCACAAATTTTTTAAACCATTCAGAAGAATTTTATTTTAAATAGAAAAATAGAATAAATAGAAAAAGGGTTAATGGTAAGAAAATTAAAATCAAAAAATTATTTTCAGAATACTAACACTATAAAACTAGTTCACTTAACAATTTTTTTTAAAAATTTGATGAATATTACTCCGATAGTTTCTGAGAACATTAAGTAAAATATCTGTTTAATTAACACATGTATATATATATAATATATTCGTGTATACATAAATACATTTATACATATATATTTAATTTGTATAATACATAATATATAATAGTATATAATTTATTTGTATATATACATGTATATATATATATGTAGAAAATTATTTATTAATATAGAAAATTATTTATTAATGTTGATGAGGTTGGTTTCACACAGGTTACAAATTTATAATTATAATTTATAATAATTTATATTTTTGAATGAAACATTAGATAAAATTTAAATTTTAAAAAATAAATGATCCTTACCGATTTATCCATTCCGAAATTTTGTAGTCAAAATTAATATATATTTATTAATTAATTAAATATTTATATTAATATAGATATTTATGAATTAAAATAGTATATTCAATTAAAATATTATTAATTAATATAAAAAATTAATAAAAATTATAAAAAAAATTGTGGGTAAGGATTATTTTTATGGATTATAAATATTTTATTTAATTTATATATTATTATTAAATTTTATTATTTATTATGAAATAAATAATAAATTTATAATAAATATAAAATTTTTATAAATATGTATTAAAGGAATAACAGCTTAACGTCTTACGGTACATCAGCTTAGCGAAGACTGCTTTCTCCTGCACTCAATATTCGCAACTGACCATTTGTATGCACTTTAGTTTGAGACAATATTTGACTGTTTACACACACACATATATATATATATATATTTATATATATATATTTATCTATTTATATATATAAATATTTATATTCATTTTATATATACTATCAGCTAATTAAGTATTGTAAATATAAAAATATTAATTAACTCAATGTTCAGCTATTATTTTATATAACGCATTATAAATTATAATTCAGTAAGCCCTTGCTGTTAAGTACGAAGTACACTTAATTTTATTTTAAATTATAAAAAGCATTAAATAATTCTATGCTAGCAAAATCATAATCGAGATAATTGTAACATTGATCTAACTCATCATTTTGGAATAATCACTCATACGCCACGTAGAACATAAAATAAGCAAAATTCACACGAAGCAAAAATTAAATTTCAATTAAAATAGCCGGTAGCTATTTTTTATGTTTCATTGATTTGAGAAGGAATTGTAGTGTAAATAATAATTATTTTATTTATACCATTATAAATACTTAACACATTTTATTCATTTGTACAAATTACTCATACTCATATATCTCAAATATCAATTTTATTGCAATTAAAATAGCTGAAAGGCACAAAAAAAGTAAAATAATTAAAAAAGTAAATTTTTAGAAACATTTCTGTATATGTTTTATATATAAACTTGAAATGCTAACTCTTGTTTTTGCAAGTAATTAGTATTATATTTTGATATAAAAAAAACCGAAAAATATATTTAATTTCTTTTTAAGTGATTTTGTTAATATTTTTCAATTGCATTAAAATGCATTCGAAATTTTTTTATAATTTTCAAACTTAGTTAATAAAAAAAATTTGTTTTTTTTTATGGAAAATAAAAAAAGTGTACATTCCACAACTTCTGTTTAATTATTAGTTGTAAAATAATACTTATTAATTAGTGGAATATCATAAAAAAATTTGAAATGTCACTACAGCCAAATTAAAATGAATAAATATTTTTAAATGTGGTTGGGAAAACACTTATTTTTTTTTTTATTTTATTTATTTTTGTATTTATTTACTTTAACTATTTATTTATATTTTGATGTGATTATTTTTCATATAAAACAAGCACATCACATCACTCAACAAGTCTCTGGTCTAAAACATTTGGATCAACATTATTAACAACTGGATTTAGTTTGAGGCGATTCATATCCTTTAAGCGATACATGTTAGCATTTCATTCCAATAATTAGTTTAAAGGGTGCCGAGATTTCGGTAACCGCAGTTCTGTAATTTCCGTATGTTGATCAAACATTATTTACTGATGGGAAAAAATAGTATTTAAAACAGATTGACGTGATGAGAGTTACAAACACTCTAAACCAGGCAAATTAACTATGGTGCTGAATTGTACTTTATGCTGAATTTAAATGCGGTTTCACAAACACTGATGATGCCTTAAATCGACAGTTATTTCAAAAAATAATGTAAAAAATCTACAAATTGATTTTTTTAAGACTGAAAAATTAACTTGCATGAGATATCTGACACCATAAAGATATCAGACACCACAAAGATATCAGAACGTAGTTTGTTTATAATTTTTTAAGAAAATTTGATTTTAAAGTGACTACCAAGTTCATACAATAAGTCATTTGTCGATGAAAATTATGGTTTGGTTTAATATTATTATTATTATTATATTGAAAAGGGGTAGTGTACTGCGATCTAAAAGATTTATTGTGCCCTTAGTCGGATTAGAATGTTTCTTCAAATCCGATTTCTTTAATAAAAATCAGTATCCTTATAATCCATAAAACACCCTCGTAGATGTTTCTTCCGCTTTTGAATCAGTGCTGGACACTCCCAAAGCACATGGTATGCAGTTTCTCTCTCTTCTCTACAGTATCTGCAGTCTGAGTTGAATTGAATTCCTAATTTCCTAGATTCCTATTAAATCTACAGTGACCGGTCAATTATTCCGTAATAATTCTTAAATTTTTTTTTGATTTTTCTATGCAATCTTTGAAGCGTTTTAGGTTGTAAGTCCCTAAAAGCATTTTCGATTGTGATAGTCTTGGTAGCCTTTCCCAATAGGAATCCTTTGCGCCGTTCATAAAAATGGATAGACTTTCTTTGCTTAGACTATAGGAAGGTTCTGTACTTATCATTACTGAAGCCGCGTCTAGTCAGCGCGTGAGTACGCAGAAAAGATATGACTTCCCTCAGTAGGTAAAGGTAAACGAACCTGACAGTTTTATAAACTTGGCTAAGTCCCTAAATTTGCTCGGTAAGTTCGGTAACAAAAATTGCCCCAAAGAGTTTAGATCTTTTTTTAGCTAAGGATAGACATTGATATATGAGTTGAAACATGGTTTCTCTTTATCCTCACAGCCACGACCTTGACATAAGTCATTATAAGGTAGATTCGGTTTTGTAAAATGTCTTCCCATTACGCACTGACCTATCAGCACCGATATCGTAGTACTGACCAGGTTACGATCTAGTTGAAGGAGAAGACTGGTGCGTTTTTTGTTTTTTATTTTTTATTCAATTCAAACCAGGTTCATTTAGAGATCTGACAGAAGGGTTCGTTAACCCAATCTTGCTTGGCAAGGCTCAGATTTTTTTGTTTGATTGATAGTTTAGCTGTTGCAAGTGGAACCCCATTATCTGTGAAGTATATGTCAGAAAGCAGCGTGCAAGCTCATCCGCCCTATAATTGCCCGGGATTTTCTTGTGCCAAAGACACCATGTGAGTTAAAATCTGATTCGTTAAGGTATGCCCAGCACTCTCGAGTTGTTAGAGATTGTGACAGTTATGCATATTAGGGTTTAAATGGCACTTTGACTGTTCAAACAGATTACGATATTTGCATTTGATTGTTTTGGACAGATGTAATAGCGTAGTGGGTTGCCATTTAATTAAGTGGGTTAAAATACATACGAAAAATATATCAGTATTAAATATACTTTTTAACACGAAAATAGTATTATTAATTGAAAATTCCATTATATAGCAAGTATGAAAATTATATATAGATAGAGTTTGAAAGGTTTGGGAACTATGTCACCACCATTCTTTGAAGATTATCACGACAAACCCACTTTAGTTCTATAAGCGCGTGGCAGTTAAAAGTACCATTATTTACCTTGAAGAAATATTGCCTTTTTCCATTATTACTGGATAGGTAGTTAATAAGCATTAAATTCTGAGTCTGGCAAGACCATCCTAGTGACATAGAATATGTTCTGCTGTTTTCTCTACTTCTCGACGAAATCTGCAGCTATCGTCACTTGTAATACCTAGATTTGATCGAAAAAAAATTATATATAGTACGCGAATGAAAATATTTAGGAAATGGAAAAAAATTTTAACCTAAATATTTATTAATTTGTTTTATCGTTAAGTAAACTTTCGGTCCAAGTGGTTATAAACTATTTTTAATTTATTTACGTCAACCTATTTTCTTTTTAATTAAATAATTTCCTTTAGCTGCAGTTTATTTACTGCGATGTCAGTCGCGGCTATAATTAAAAGCGCGCTTAAAATCAATTTTCCTTTTAGAGGTCCGTGCCATTCCTTTTTTCCGTGCTTAATTGAGAAAACAGAAGCTGCATAAAGCAAACACAAGTTAAATTAAAAATTCTTGGCGCTTGACTTTCAGTTAATGAAGTAGTTTAGCCGCAAATGATTAAACCAAAGCATAATTAATATAAAATATTAAAGTTTGCATTCTCAAAAGCAGCAAATATTCAGACAAATTAATTGGCGGTTGCTACCAAAAAACCATTGAAACTTTTAACAATTTCGTTAAATGGCCGAAAGCGCTTAATAGTCATGAAAAAGTTTTCTCCAATTCGGGACCTTAAGTGAAAACTTAAAAAGGATCAAAAGGGAAGAAAGTGTATGTTATAAATAATAAATATAAAATAAATAAGTAGAAAAAGTTCAGCATCAAGGCAGCTGGATAACTTGGCTAAGTAACTTAAACCGCATATAGTCCATCATGAAACCGAGCACACTTTAAGTGTGAAGAACTACGCAGAGCAAATATGGCAAGTTTCTTCGAGTGAAGAAAAGTGGAAAAGTACAGTGAGTAACAGAAGAACCGATGAAAGCAGAAAGCAGTCCCGATACTCCTATCACAAAACACCATAAAAAACAATAAAAAAATTATTGATAAATGGTAAAAGTGTGCGTTGAAACTTTGTTTAAGTGCGCTTTCAGCCACTCACCAGCTCGGGCCAGCCAAATAGATTGATTGATTTTTATTTCTTTTTTGATTATTTTTTTTTTTTTTGAAAATTTATAGATTTTCTAAAACTTATTTGGTTATTCTATTTTTTTTTCACTACTTTAGTAAATGTAAGTGCAAATCACCGTTAAGTGGAGAACGAAAAATCGCTGGAAAAAGTGTCATAAATTAAAGAGAAGCAGCATGCATCTCTGAATCCTTAAGGATTGCACGAAGCGAAAAGTTTGAGATGCAAAATTTGTTGCAAAATTTCTTGCAAAATTTACCATGAAATCAAACAGCGTAAACATGCATAAATTTAAGAAAATTTGGAAAATTGGAAAATGCCACCAAAAATAAAGCGAACTCATAGTGTCTGCAGTAGAAGTTCAGTAGAAGGTTTTATATCTAAGTTGCTGGTAAAATATATTTGCTCCTGTATTATTGCAAACGTTGCAAAAAACTTTTCTTCACTGAAGTTTTGAACTTGAGACCAAAATTTTTAAATTTTATACGTATTTTCCACAATTTCTACTTTGTTTTTTATTTTATATTATTATTAAGTTGACTTTTTCCACTTTCTGGCTTATGTTGCAATTTGAAAGAATTTCGAATTTGACAATAGGATTGACACTGAAAGAGTTAATTTTATTAAACCCATTCTATGTTTGCCATGTTCAGGAATTATATTCCATATAAATATTTTAATTATATACATTTCTCACATTGTTCTCAAAAATGTTCTCGTTTATTTTTTATTTCACTACTTCAAAACTGAAGAATATTTGTGTTAAGAAAATTCAAAAGAATTTTATGAAATTTAAATTGAAACTAGAAAATACACAAATTCTGGTATTCACAAAATTTGAATTTATTTGCAATCCGAAACTTTTGTTCCATTATCAAAATGATGATCATTTTAAATGACAGCAAAAAGTCCAAATGTACAAAGGATTTCATTTTCATTTTGCTAATGGAAATATTAAGTAAATTTTAAATCAAATCAATTTTTATTTTTTTTTGTGAAGAATTTAAAACTTTTCATTTTATACCAAATGTAGTTATTTCTTTCAATTCTACGCTTCTCAAGTCTTCTCGCATTTATAATGAATGATAATCATGAATGAATCATATAATCATGAATGCTTTTAGTTTGTGTTTTTTTCTTTATTTAAATCAAACTATATTGCTTTGTACAGTTTATACAATTCACCCTTCAACAATTCAAAACTTCAATAATCCTCCAAGAGTTTATCTCTTTACTTAAAGAATAGCACAATACTTCATGTCAAATTCTTTCTCAAGATTAAATTCCCCTATTCTTAAAATTTCTTTATATGGAACTGTTTTTCAATTTCTTAAAATTTCTATTAACATACCTGTTTTTCATTTTGCATGCATTTGATATCCATATTTCTTAACCTGTAATATCGGATAACACTATCAATGCTATTCAGGCAGCTCATTTAGGACGTTTTGGTATTCTTATAACATTTGAAAAGCTCATAATTAAGACTATAATAACAATTTTATGACGATAAAAATGACAAAACATAAGATCAGATTAATACGAAAGTAATACTGATTATATATAACATATAAATATTTAAAAATAATTATAATAAAGTAATACCGATTTATTATTTATAATGATAAAACTGTTTTAATATTTATTATTACAATTATATTTTTGTGCTTATGGTTCATACAAACAATTGTTAACAAATTTTCAAAAAAACTAAAGCAAATTATTATTAGAAGGGTTCGAACAATAATGAAGAAGCAACAACAGAAATTTGATTAATTTATTAAAACTTAGTTAAACATACACTGCTGTTTGAAGTACTGCCAAGTACTCAACTTCAGTGACGTTAAGAAATATTCCAATTTTTAATAATATATATATTATTTATCAGGCTACAGGTCATTTTATTTTTAAATTAAAAATCGCGTATATAGTTTATTGAAACTAAATATTAAATCGAAAATTTTATATCAATATTAATAAAATATTTATATGCGTCTCTAGACTTAGTCATAGAAACTTCTCTGATTTAAGTGGAGATAGTACCGATATAACATAAAAAGCTCTCCAAAAATGGCTCAATTGAATCTCCAGAGAAATCAGTTGGTTTTATAATGGAAGTTGTTTAAAATCGAATGAAAAATGTGCTGTTCAAAAGTTTGTGTGAATGAAATAATGAAAGGATACTCATACTTCATAAAACGTAGAGAAGTGTTTAATATATTAATAAATGGATCCACGCCTTGTATGAACGATACTTAAACTCAATTAAATTCAGTGAAATAAAATTTAGTTAATATATGTAAATATTCAATTTTTATATAATTATATGTATAAATGAAAATTTAAATGTATATATAAATATAATATATAAGTGACGTACCAAATAGGTATGTAGCGTCAATTTATTTAGTATTATTAAGTAATTAACTTGATTGAAATTTGTTTATGGGATTAATAGAGAAGCTCTCAACAAGTACGAGTACATTTCTTATACATACATATATAAAAATAATAAAATATATATAAAATATTACATACATTTGTAATTATATGTAAGAGTACTAGCATGAAATCGAAGTTAACTTGTTATATTAGTGTTTTTTTTTTATTGAATCATATTCGTATTTACTATATATCTATTGTATATATATTATAAATTATTTTATAATACTTTTAAAATAAAAATTTTTATTTACAAAAATATGTATACCCAAAAACCATGAAAGCTTAGCAATATTACACAATAATTTGAAAAAAAATTATTTATGTTGATATTTTTTTATATTGTTTAAAATATACATTGATTTAAAATCTTTTTTATAATTTTATTAAAATTTTATAATTTGATAAGCGCTATTGTTTAAGTCAATTTTAAAAAAAATTTATTATTACCAATATTTCGACCGCAATCTATGGTCATCTTCAGGATGCGGATATACTATAAATTTATTCTAATATAGTACAATATTTAATTAAAAAAAATTTTTTATTATATATGTAGTGTATATTATGTACCCAAGACATGACTATAAGTTGTATAGTATAGGCTATAGGTGGTTATAAATAATGAATAAATTATAAGTAAATAAATAAAAAAACTGCAATAAACGACTAAAGATCGAAATATTGGTAATAATTAAATATTTTTTAAAATTAATTTCATAAGTTATATATTTTTTTTAACTTTTATTTCACTTTAACCATTTAGAGCATACAAAAATATATAAATAAAATTTGTTCATTAATAAATTATAATTTAATTTAAGTTTTAACATTTTATATTTTTTTATTTTGTTTAATTAATTTTCTTTATTATTTCTTCTATTTCAGTTCAATTTATACTCGAAGGTAATTATAATTTTTTTTTATCTAAAAATAATAAACATCTTTAATGCTCAAACCAAATATATTTTTACGAAGTCATTGACTTCGTACCTAGAAATGCAGATTAAGGAAACAAATTTTCCAAGTTACAGAAGAAAATATTTCATAATTAAAAAAAATATAATAATAATAATGCGAAAAAATGAAAAAGATAAAAAGTATCTGATGTAAGTAGGGAAACTAAAACTCAACGTTCGATACCGAAATGAGTCTCAGAATCTTGTAATTTTAGTCATGACAACTGAATGAGAAAAACGCAAAGAATAAACCGAATAAAAATGAATAATATTAAAAATATTTAACCAAAAAAAAAAGAAATATAATAAAAAATAAAAGAACTGGAATTTGATGATACGAGAAAACTACACCAAAGAGATTTCCACTTGAAGATTTGAAGAAGAAAAAATTATTGAATGAAGTTTTTCTAATGTAACTTTTTTCTTACTGCAATCTGAGTATGCTGAGTAGTTCCGAAAAAAAAAGAAGAAGCAAAAATTTATGAAACTGGGAAAATTTTTTGCTTTACACAATATTTCTTGAACGTTGTTGCAAAATTTAGTGAAATGTCGGGCAAATGTGGGTCACATGACCACTTCGGCATTACAAGTAAAAACGTTTGATTTCACTTTCAATCTTCAACGCAAGTTGGGAAAAATTTCGTAGTATTTAAGGACACATAACAGAGCACAATGATGTGTCCTTTTTCACAATTATTTAAATATTTACAAATTTTGCTGAAACGAATGAACATTTGTTACACATTAGAGAAGAAAGGACGAAAAAGCGAAACACTTTCTGAAGCTTCCCAAAGTTACTAAATCTTTACGGAATGTTTTTTTTAAGTTTTTGTTAAATTGACTATTTTTAGCAGATAAAAACTTGAAAGTGTAGAAGTACATTATTAATAATGTAGCTAATAAATCAAAATAGAATTATTTTGTACTAAAAATATTTATTTAAGACAGTAATATTTTTTTTTTGGATAATATACAAGAGTGGACTTGATATTAAAATTTTTTTTTATATTATTATATATGATATATTTCATAGGCTTTGCAATTAAATAAACGAGATATGTTCAAAAAGTAACAAAAAATTCTTAATATTAGGCAAAAGACACTATTGATTAAAAATGCTTTAGACCCTAACTTGCGTGTAACCAGATATAGAAGAATAGAAGAGAAAACGTAGTATCTCTGCATATTTTTGCTTGTGAGTCTATTCTTTTACTAGTAGTGATTACGTACTGCACTATATCTTATGGAAAAATCAATTTGCCAATAAGATTTTTCATTACACCTTGCATATATACCACATTTTGTACCTACATTCTACATTAAGACGGAATGTGAAAACTATTCCCTCATAACACTTTGCTTATATTTCACATTTTGTACCTATATTCTAGATTAGGACGGAATGTAAAGTACGTGAGATCTATAGTTCATCGCATATTATCAAACAATAGTAACTATATGGCATATTCAAAATTAAATAAATACAACCTGAAGAAATTAAAAACTTATCGTTATTAAATCTTATAGCTCAATCAGATCAGCGTTTGCTAAAACACAGTTAATACCAAAAGATTACTATTTTTAGGGATATGGTTTTACTATTTAAGATCAAATCCTATAGCTCAATCGGATCAGTGTCTGCTAAAACATAGTTAATCTCAAAGGTGAACTACTTTTAATGATATGGATTAAATATTTAAAATGAAGTCCTCTATTGCTTAATCAGATCAGTATTTGCTAAAACACATTTAATCTCAAAAGTAGACTACTTTTAAGGATATTAATTAAATATTTAAGAACAAATCCTATAGCTCAATCAGATCAGTGTCTGCTCAAACATAGTTAACATCAAAGGAGGACTACTTTTAGTGATATGGATTAAATATTTAAGATAAAATCCTTTAGCTCATATAGATCAGTGTTTGCGAAAATACAGTCAATATCAAAGGTGCAATACTTTCTAGGATATGGATTAAATAATTGAGATCAAGTAAGTAAAGCCTGGAGAAATGAAAAATTTCTCGTTATTTTTGACCACATTGCGGTATTTGATTTGTTTTTGTGAATTATCTTATTCTGTATTCATATACAAAACATAATGATAAAAGAATAATGTTACATCCAATTAAATATTACAGCTGGTTATGAAAGGTTTCTTAAACCACATTAAATTTGATATAAATAATAGTTTAGAATGATAATAAATTGTGCAATAAACAATCTTTAATCATCAACATCAATTTTTTTTAAATATTTTTGAATATTTTTCAAAGTATTATTAAAAGGATTAGTGTCAGCATTCAGATGTACATATTCTAGGCAAATCTAGTTTACATCTCTTCTCTGTAATCTGACAAATATTCCACAAAATTGAAGTCCTCCAGAAGCTACATGATATTTTTTTTCAATATTGTTGCACCCTCATCTTTCTCCAAAATCAGATGTTGTTGTTTTTAAATCTTATGTAGAACTTTAGTTTCATAAATATTTCTTTAAAAGATTTATTTCGATTAAAAAATTTTAAGACAGAAATCTATGGACTTATTACTCTGAGGTTGTTAAGCGCCTTAAGATATGCAACAAAATTTAAGTTACTAAATCTCTTGTACATCGAACAAATTTCATCTATCGAAATTTGTATCCTACGTTCGTTAAGCTTTCTCTTCCCTACACATTTTCAACTTAAACGGAAAAGTTAAATAACAAATCTCAGCGCAGAAACAATGCAACCTGTCTAATGTTACATTATTTACCATACAAATCACGTCAACCGAACTTACAAACTCTGTTAAATACAAACGCATACATACACGTGTATTCACACATTTCGGAACCATTGGCTAAATGCCCAAAAGAATCTAAGAATGGAGGAATGATCTGACCAACTTTGTGTGACAGGAAATTTGGTAAAAACAAGAACAATTTAACAAAGAAAAAAGTTTATAAAGAAGATGATGAAACAAAGCAGAGCAGTAGGCAATGCTGGTTAGTGGGGAATACCGAATACCAAAAAAATAATGAAAAAGGCAGTTTCTTACGAAAAATTGCCTGCACGTCACTTAATGCTCTGCATAAAGACAAGTCAACCTCATAACAGCCTTACCGAACGAAACAAAAAAAGTTAGCAAAAGGACATCAAAGCTGACTAAAATATTAAATGAATATAGGGGAGCACATGAGGGTTGGTGTGTTTTAAGCCGATTAGCAGTACAACAAAATTGCTGCCCGCTACTTTTTACCATAACAACTTTTTTTTTTCTTTACTTTGACTTGTCAAAATCTCAACAATGCTTTTGCCTGCCTTCGCAGGATAATAAAGCATTTGCCGAGTTCACTCCCAAGGTACGAAATTTTTTCCCACTACTTCTTAAGTATGTGCTAGATTTTCATAAGTCGTACATCAAAATGCAGAAGTGCAAGACTTAAAGGAATTTATGTTATGTTTAATTGGATTAAGTATGCGATTTGTAGGTACAGTGTTTGCAATTGACTCGCAAACTAATTAAGGCATTAAGATTTCAAAAAAAAAGACATCATTTAGAATTTAGTCATTTATTTTAAATAAAAAATAATGCTAATTGATGGTTAATAAGCCTATGAAGGTCCAATTGTATACTGTTTTTTATTTGTAATTAATTTTATTGAACCAAGAAATAAATGGGAAAAGGGTTAACTCCTTCAAATTCACTTCGAATTTAAGTATGGCTTCGTTATAATTATTAGCTGCTGTCATTAATATCTTAGCCATGAAGGTGACCTTGATAAAGAGATATTGTACATACTTAAACCTAAATTTTAAATTTCGTATACGTTTTAAGGGGGTTTGTTGTTCCATATTATATGGAGGCATAACAATACCACCTAAGTAGTGAGGCCTTTGTTTACCAATAGTTAGACATTCACAAATAATGTCCTATCGTTGTCATGAACTTAGGTTACGAATCGGTTGACAATAAAGACGCGAGCTGCACAAATGCGAACATTCAGAGAAAACAGTCTTTCTTGAGCTAATAAACTCTTGTTTCTAATTTCTTTTATTTGCATAATTCTCTAGCCTTATAATCAAAAATTGTGTGGAGTTCTAACCATAGATTGTTGCAAGCACTCTCTCTGTAAGAATGTAAATCTGAAAAATCTTTCAACGTGCTTGGCGAATAATTTTCTTTCAGCTGACTAACAGTCTGTGATAACACAATACTGATAACTCATGCGAGTTTATATCTGTTGACCACTACAAATCGAGGTGTAATGGAGAACTTTGTCTATTAGCCATTATTTAAAAGTTAATGCTTTGTGAAACCGTACGGAATATTTCCAAAATGTATATTTTCTTTTACTGAAATTTATTTCTAGATTACGGTTTAAAAATACCTTTCAAAACTTTTTTACGATAGACAATTGCATAAACCTTGTTGACACCCCTGAAAAAAACATAATAAGCGACCATAAATCTTTATAGTCATTTAAGTCATATCAAATGATGGTGAATTAGCTTTTGCAGTCATTGAAATGTCTTAATTTTAATGAAACCTCTTCATTAAGTTAACTGAATAATATGTTTCTATACGAATAACTCAGTAGGGATATGTTTTTTAACAGAAAAGACCATAAACTGTAATTGATCGAATTTGTATAAATGATAGACCTGCTTTCCCTTAACATCATTCATTCTTCCTACAGTTTGTTCCTAATCAAGGATAATATCTTGTCCTTAAGCTCGCTTTTAAGTAATTGTAGCAGTTTTGTTTTCAATCAAAAATTAGAAGATTTTTTGCATACCCGATCTTTTCCATAAGTATACCAAAAAAACAATGCATTTATAAAACATATGTAATCTTGAGTTACAGTTTTATTGTACATATGTTGCTATATCACTGCTATATCACCGTTCAAAAACATAAAACGGATGACACTATTTTATGGGTCTTTTCATGGTGGCATAGGCTA